TCTTCTTCTTCTTCTTCTTCTTCTTCTTCTTCGTCTTCGTCTTCTTCTTCTTCTTCTTCGCTACTTATCTTCAAGGACACCAATTTAGAATGGATGTGTAAGTACACACCCAAGCACACCCAAAAGGCATAAAGTGCAGATTAGGTGGCAGGCTTTGTCTCCAAAAGCCATCGAGCAAGTCCTAAATATATCCAAACATGTATCTTAACTTGAGTGTGTTTGCCTCATCAAGTGGTTAGTACATCACTACAAGAGATTTTGGAACTGCTTCGGTCGTTTACACCCTAGACTTTGATATAAACCTTGAGAGACTACTGTTTATCTACGGCAATGGTCCCTGAACGGTTGACCATAGAAACCTATTAGAAGGGAAATTGTTACGTTTTCTATTATATTGAATTCGGGTTTAGTTGGTTTGTAAAACTAGCGTCCTTGATAAATTACTTATTAAATTATAGTTGTTGGTTAAAATTACGAGGTTCATGCAGACCACTGGACATATGTTCACTCCCAATAGGCTAAAAGTTTCACTTTCAAGCTAAAAATGTAAATAATTCCGTTGTCAACTGCATTTGTGTTCAAGCCCGATTGTTCCCACAAGTGGTCTTGTAAGTGCACGTTCCATGCGACATCCCTCGCGGCTGCGTTCGTGTCTGATCTACGTTCCCGCACGCTTGTATTCTGGCACGGAAGTGGTCGCAACCAGTGTGGGAAAAAGTAGTTTAAGTAGTGTACCAATCATTTTGTCCTACGAAAAGGGTGGTTATAAGGATCTTCGGGGTAAGGAAATAGAATAGGCAGTGAAGGAAATTTCTGGAAGTAAGTCTAAAGTGGAAAAATTTTGTTAAATTGGTTTCTCACGGCCGCATGTAAAATGAAGGTGTGCGCGGCGCTTGGCGCCGCGGACTCAACTAAGCTAACTCCAAAAACGGTGAGTTGGACCTCAAGTAAGTTGAAGTAGATGACCTCCTAATCACTATTTCTATTTTTCAGGAATTTCATGAAATCTGCATTTTTACAATTGGGTTTTCCGCAATAATTTAAACGATAATACAGATCAGGAAAATCTATAGATATGAATCAACAACATTTCGAAATAAAAAAAAATGGAAAAGCATATAGCAATTAGTAAGGTATATTCCATTGCCTATCCTAATTCCTCGCCCATAAAAATCCTTTAACCAACGTTTCCGTAAGACAAAATGTTGGGACTAGGGGTATGTAAGGTGCACTACTTAGATTAGTACTGCCGCACTATGACTTCCTTCCGGCGATTTAATTGGTTAACTATCATTCATACCGGACCCATTAATCAAAAGTCCGGTGTCGTTTACCGCATCAGCTGTCTCTGTGGTCAAGCCGAGTATCTTGATGAAACCGGCAAACGGGTTCTCATGAGAATGCTTTTGTTTCCATCTGATCTTCAATGCTTTGTAGTTC